GTTAGAGCGCGAATTTACTGATCGGAAGGTCCGTGGTTCGAATCCGACCTCTGCCTCTCGACTTCCCCTGTCTAGGCTTAAGCGACCTGGCAGTATCCCAACCCTCGTGCCTCCTTCGTATGGCATGGCAGCTAGTCACCGAAAGGGTGTTACAGCTGAATGATATGTTTTATTAACATTCAAATAAATCAAAAAGATGTTGAAAGTAGCCCGATGGAAAAATAGGAATCATATCAGAGCACAGGGGCCGGCTTGAAATCTAAAATCGGGTGACTACGCAGTCACCTAGTTCTATTGTTGTATATATTAAAATCGTTCAGCCGTAACACCATTTCGGTGCCATGCCACCAGAAGCAAACCGGAGGTCTGGGATACTGCCAGGTTGCCCAAGCCTAGAGAGAGGAAGTCGAGTGGAAGAGGTCAGATTCGAACCACGGACCTTCCGATCAGTAAATTCGCGCTCTAACCACTTGGTCCCTCTCGCCCCTGTACGAAACTGAAAGCTCGCACCGTCCTGGACTGACCACTCGGAGATGTCAGGTATTATGACGGGGGGTCATTTATACATTTACGCATAGATTTATTCATACGCACTGGGGACAATGCAATAAAACGGAACCCAAATGGATGCAGTACAAAACTACGACGGTTAAATGCAAATGAAAAACACAGATAACCCAGCAAACCACATAAGGTTTGGCAAGCGATGTCCACCAGCCAGATCAACAAATTCACATACACACACACACACTCATACAATCTTTCCAGTGACGTTATACGCGAAAGTCACAGTCAACCCCATCATGACACACGAGGTCTGATCAATTGTGCAGTCTTATTTGCGTGCGTTCACTTGAGCAGACAATGTAGCTACGGCAACTGAGAAGTTGGGACTAATAACATCCATCACACGGTACAACACTGGGCAGTTTGATTTTTAGGCGGAGCAAAATCAGTCCACAGTCCCGAAACACTCTAGATGTTGTTTCTGGACCAGGAGGAACAGTGTTCACGTGGAAGTATTCCCTATCAACACAAATCTATCAATCTGTCTGCTGGCTACAACGATGCGATTCGATTGGTCGATATCTATCGACAGTCGATCAGAAGATGATCACAAAAAGACGAATGGTTGACTGCATGCAGTAGAATAAACGGCATGGTGCATATCAGAGGACGTTCATACTGTGAATCAGGGTAACCCGATCCGGCTAGCCACTGTAACCAAAGTCATGCTGGATCCAAATTAAACGACATAGATACCATCGATCATCCAGACATCCTGTGTCTACAAATGACGTTCGTGGAGTCGCAGGCAAACGCACCGTCAATCGACGAAAAAAGGAAAAAGAGTTGCTCACTTGTATATCTTCGTCTGCCGGTGCATTAGGACAAGACGACGTGGATCGGAAAGTTGGATGCCGTTCCAAGGCATTTGCGGATTACGATGAGACAGTGAATGGTCTTCCCACGTGTCCAACGTCTGCTGTTCGCCACAAATGATGCACAGACTGGAATGATTGGGACAGACAAAAGACCAAAGCATGAGCCAAAAAGTGAGGATACCTTATGGTTGGTTCGCCGAGCCTAACACAAAAACCACTTGCAATGCACTGATGATGAAACGTTTGCAACCAAACTGTCCAGCTCAACAACAAACCAACTGCTGTTCGCCACAAATGATGCACAGACTGGAATGATTGGGACAGACAAAAGACCAAAGCATGAGCCAAAAAGTGAGGATACCTTATGGTTGGTTCGCCGAGCCTAACACAAAAACCACTTGCAATGCACTGATGATGAAACGTTTGCAACCAAACTGTCCAGCTCAACGAACAAACCAACGGTCATCATTGCAACCTGAGCTACCAATTGTTTCCTCGACTGCAGAACAATTTATTGAGGCATTTCACTATCGGTTCAATGCATTGTAAACATAGAAACGCATCGATTGTGCCACTGGTCATTCACTTATCCCGGGAAAACCAAGTCAGTCACTTCAAACCGATATTATAATCATACAGAACGACTTTCAGAGAATGGGTTGATCAAGCGACAATGCAAAACACGCAACCGATCGATAAAGCAAACAAATTCTCCCCGACTTATACAACCACAGATCTCATCTCAGTCGGAAAGACAAGTATTTGGCATCTGTACGATGCGTTGAGCACTTTTCCAACCGGATTCGACAACACTATTCAGTCTGGATAAGGAGAGAGACATCAAAGTACTTTTAACATTGGTGAGAACAGAGCGGAACTCCGCTTTCGAAATTACCTACACTGTCCTGCTCGCCTAATGTTGTCAGGCCGGATGCCCTGACTGCTATCGGTCTAAGAAACCTTGTTCTGTGAGTCCGAAGCTTCACATCAAAAACATTGCAACTGATCAGACCATGAACGGCGTAATGGAAGGATAACAGCAAAAAGGGATCACGACTTACAATGAACCTGATTCGTCTTTGGAAGCAGAATTTCCCAATTCCGAATACCGCGTAGAACATGTGCGTAGCGGTTGCGTCACAACAACGTTCCCGGTCAAGTCTTCCGTCCGATTGAGAACACCGTCATTTTTTGGACTGTCTGTAGCATCCCGCAAGGAAGATCTATCAACCTGCTGCTCTTGGTCATCGTTATCCACGATGACTAGTCGCCGTTTGCTTCGTTGAGATCCGGCTGTATAGTCAGACTCAGATGCAGTCACACTGGTACGTTCAGAACGTGGAGAGACTTCAGGTGAACTGTCAACCAAGATGCAATCGGCTGGATCGACTTCATGTACATTGCCATCAGCACACCGTTTGAAACCTGTAAGAGTGAAACTTAGTGATGTGAATTTTTGCTTGATCCCCAATTGCATGGACGATCAGTATAAACATGTAAGGTGAGGTGTCCCAAGTGGAATTCATTCACGTAAGCACCGATGACAGCATTACGATTGTTTGAACATTCAGCTGAAGGAATAAGTCAGATTGAAGATGTCTTCTCGATTTCGCATCAAAGGTGTCTAAATAGTCATTTGTCACCACCGACGATCTCCCACAACTAGTGATTTAATCATTAGTTGTGTTCCCTACGACCTTTGAGGACTAGCGCTTCAGTGTAGATGCAACGATGATCACGACTGTGTGACTCATCGCGTAGTAAGAGAAGCTGTCTCAGATTGTTCCATTTAGCAAGATCTAAGACCCCTATTGGGGTCTTGAAGAAGAATAGGGCAGCGAATATACACTCACCTGTAAACTAATTTGGTTCTTTTGAGAGACCCACCTGGAACCCAGCTGAATCTCTCGTTTATGATGTTCTCAGGCAACTGAATGTGCTGCACCAGGCCGCCTCATGTTTCAGTCGCTACGATATTTGAAATATCGCGATACACGTATATTTGTAATGTACTACTCATAAGGCTGCTGAAAATCCATCGACTGCCCACGACCGGTTTCGCCCTTCTTGGGGCTCATCAGGTAGGCGCAGTCCCCGGGTTTCCGCCAACCTTATGTTCTACTTCAAACCAAATGGGGCAGTATCGAAGGTAACTGTACAACTGAAAACCTTCCAGACCAAACGGTTGGATATGACCAGTCTTCTGTCGTACCGCCCACTAGCTTATGTCAGGAAATACGATAGCACGATAGTGTTTCGTGCCTGGGTGATAGGCGAATAGCGTTTGACCGTTTGACATGGATTGGTTGTTATTCCGACCAATCATTGGCCATCTGCATTTGGTCGACAGCACGTTGCCATTTGTCCAACTGAAACCAAGCGCACTCAGACGTGAAGACTACGAAAGTTCGGTATTCAGTGGAATGGAATAAGAATCCATCATAAAATCAACTCACTGCCAGTGTTCGACTCGGACTGTCCGTTGATTTTGTTTGAAGACAGTTGACTTCGGCACCAACCTGCTCCGCATCCAAATTTATCCAATTTCACAGTAGTGCCTGGTTGACGCAGACCGGTAGTAGTGGACTGCCCTGTTGACTCTGGCTGTTTGCTCTGCAGCAACTCACTTCGCTCACGCATGCAGCGATAAATGTGCTCCCAAATGTTGACTGTCCCCGTGGAAGATGCGTTCTCTGAAACGGCTGATATGGCAGATTGTGGTGGACGTAGGGATGCTGTAGGAGCAGGACAAACCAACATGGCGTCGGTCGGAGAAGAACTGGTATTAGTCTGGTCGGTAGTCCCATGTGAGGCCGCGCCGGAGGTCTCTTTGCTCGGCTGATGATGATTGGTGGTAGGTGACGAGGGTCTTTTGTCTGGGCCCCTCGGCGTGTTTGACGGTGGCAGCAAACAACATATGAAACAAAGAAGACCCTGCAACGGAAAATATCGAGAAACTGGCTAGGACCAGCACCCTGGGTTGTGTGTACGAAGGTGCTACGCCGCGCTAAAATGCAGAACTCGGTGATTTGCGTCTGCCAACGACCAAAGCGTTCCAAACAAACTCATGTGTCAAATGAGCAGCTACCCGTAAAAGAGATCGTTTTTTAAACAGCATGCGATACCACGGAAGATGAACTTTACGGATGACGGGACGTCTAACAGAGTAGTCTTTCGTTCAGTTTGGTCTCCTTGAGGGCAATCAAATTCGAACTCCCGCGTGGGGTACAAAAGGCAAAACTGAACCCCATTTTGTTAGTGTGACCGCCAGCGGTTCGTAACAACGATATTCACCTGTTCAGAGAGGTTTGGTAAACAATCGGTGGATTTATCGCTGGGCAACGTTTCGCTTTTGACACAAATGCTTCGTCAGGCCAAGTGGGTAAGTAAGTAGGTTGATTGAGTTTTAAGGCAGTCAGGGAACCAATCCGTGAGATTTCTTATGACTAGCCGACTTGATGAGTGCTAGGTGTTCAATCTAATGTTCCTGTTTGTCAGGTTAGTGGGGATGACTAACATTTACGATAAATTGGCTGGGGGGGGGTGATTTGTCTTCATGTTGAACCCGGATTTTTCGTCCTTCCTTTTTCAGTCTAGGGGTCGTTCACAGATTTCGTTCACCTATGTTCGTCAAAGGGTGCCTGGACTACTAGTTTGGGGGTGGGGTGGTTAATCGGATCTAACTCTTTTTGGATTTTTTTACTTTTACACCCAGATCATTTCGCTGATAACTGCACATCGGCTCGTGTCATCTCGGCTGATCTAAAACCGCTCTCCACACGTTTGCAAGTTCTACTCCCTCTATTCCATTCACACTGCGACGCTTGGCGATTTCCACCACCTTGGCCACCAGTCGCTGTGGTATGAATCTCAAACCCCGTATCAGGATGTCCACATTTTTTAGATCTATCCTATGCCCAGTGTCTGGTGCATGCCCTGCCATTAGCGAACCTTTGACTATCGCCTGAAACGCTTACGCTCACCGATTCCGGTGTGCAATTTCCTGGCTGTCTTACTTAAATAAACCTTCGTACAGTCGTTACACAGTTCCTACACACACCTCATATCAGGACGACTGGTGGCCAAGGTGGTGGAAATCGCCAAGCATCCCAACGTAAATAGAATAGACGGGGTAGAACTTGCAACCGTGTGGAGAGGGGTCTTAGATCAGCCGAGACGACACGAGGCGATGTGCAGTTATCAGCGAAATGATCTGGGTCTAAAAGTACAACATCCAAAAAGGGTCAGATCCGAGTGACCACCTCACCTCCATACCCAAACCGGCACCCTTTGATGAACACAGGTGAACGAAATCTGTGAACGACCCCAAGAGGAGAAATACACTCAGTTGCAAATCAATTTGGTTTTCACGAGAGACGCAAGTGGATCTCCCGTTTATGATGAATTTTTCCATTAAGGTGTCCTAGACTGAAAAAACGAGGACGGAAAATCCGGGTTCAACATGAAGACAAATCATCTCTCCCCCCAACCAATTTCTCGTAAATGTTAGTCATCCCCACTAACCTGACAGAGAGGAACATCAGACTGAACATCCAGCACTGATCAATTCGGCTAATCATAAGGAATCTCACGGATTGGTTCCCTGACTGCCTTAAAACTCAATCAACCTACTTACTTACCCACTTGGCCTGACGAAGCATTTGTGTCAAAAGCGAAACGTTGCCCAGCAATAAATCCACCGATCGTTTACCAAACCTCTCTGAAAAGGTGACTTCCCAGTTGGTCCCAAACATTTACCAATTGAAGGATGTAATGTAATGTAAAACAGGTAAGCGCGTATATGAGTTGTTTGCTGCTCATCGGTTAGAGGTCCAAATATCGTGAAACAAAGGTAAGAGTGCGCCCGACAAAGTGAGTAGTGTAGAGGTCCGTGAACACGACTTGAAAACGTACAGGAACAAATCAAGAACTCTGAATCGAGCAGAGTGACTTTATTTCTTTTAGTTCCGCCAAAACTGCTGCTACACAACTCCGACCTACGAGCAGATTGTCATTTCTACAGCCAAACAGGGGGTTCCAGTACTGGTCACTTGAACCGGACGAGTGATTCGCAAACATGCGTATAAAAAAAACCGAAGCCACTTGAACTCGTACGTTCGCAAACATGCGTATAAAAAAAACCGAAGCCAACTGGAACTCGTACGGACAATGAACCCAAGGCCGACTCCCGGAATCTCTAGAGACGGTACAACAGTTCGGTTGATTTTGAATACGAAACAATGGGTTATTACGATTTCTCCGGTGTTCCATCGTAATACGTGTTGAACCCTCTGTGGTTAGGGCACGAATTTACCTATTGGAGGGCTGGTGCTTCGAACCCAAACTCAGCATCTCGGCTGCCTAGGCTTGGGTAACCTAACAGTGCCTCAGTCCGCGTGGTCCCTTTAGATGGCGTGGCAGCCGGGCACCGAAAGAGTGCTTTTTACAACAAAAAACCGCACAAAAGGTCACACGTGCTCTGACGTCATCCATTGCAAGTCATATCATGAAGATGGGTCATTTATGCAATACCCCCCCCCCAATGTCAGGTCGCTACCGATTGAATACATCAGAACGATCAGACCGGAAAATTACCGGTATCCAACCAAACGCGACGGTTTTGCTACTATCCGATCGATACATGCGAAGAAAACGTTAATGTTTCATCAGTTGTATACTTTCAACGTTGGTGGAACGGATAAGGGGACGCGAAGCTTCAACTGATGTAAATTTCAGGGTTCCGTCTAAGATTAGGCCAGAGATCCCAAGATAGCTCACAAGTCAGAGACTGCCATAAAACAATTCCTGTAACTCTTACCCCGTCCACTATAAACTGGAAAGTCACAGGAACGCACAAAGCTGTTAGGATGAAGGCAATGATAAAACAGCCGAGTACACGCCTTTTCACTTACCCAATGTTCCACGAAAGCGTGCTCGGAAAGAGCCCATCGGGTGGTCATTGACGACGAGCACAATGGACAGACAAACGGGTCACTGACGAGTGACGCGTGGTCCAGGTAGTGATCCAACTCCGGCGATACAGCGAAGCGCAACTTGCCGCAGAGGAAAGAAGGGTAAAAATGAATAAAATAGAGTCGAAATGGGTATACAAAATAAACACTATCTAAACACAACCTCTTGTGCACCCATGAAAAATCAGTTCCCTGCGAACAAAATGACCGGATGTTGTCCTCCTCACTGTTTCAATAATTTGCCCTGTGCTTGTTGTTCGCACACCAGATAGGCCTAACACAATACAAAACAATCGCTCAGCTGTGGCGCTCTTCCTGTGTCTAGCTGTACGAGGGCTGGGATACTGCCAGGTTGCCCAAGCCTAGACAGGGGAAGTCGAGAGGTAGAGGTCGGGTTCGAATCACGGACCTTCCCGTCAGTAAATTCGCGCTCTAACCACTTGGACCATCTCGCCCAACACAGTGAGCACACTATGTTGTGCGGCAAATAGTTGACGGTTGGACGGATAAAAGCCGGAGCATACGCGTCCATTGTAACAGGCATGAACATACACTAGCGCATTTCTATCATCCTGGGTATCAGCAATGATTACAGCTCTCACAAAGGCTCGTTCATCGCTCGGCTGTGAAACTTGCGATCGCCGTTTAGTCCGTCCAATGATCACTACATTGAATATGGTGGTTACTAGCAAAAGGGAAGGAGAATGGAAATTAAGGAGGGCACCATTGAATGCGGTTACACCTGGAGCTCAGGACAAATCGACTGTCGGGGTACACCGATGCAGTTCGATGCGGTGGACAAAGCCATTCGACTGACAAATACTGTCCGGGGACCAGGGTCCGCTTCGTAGGTAACATCGAAACGACCAAAAAAGTGACATGTACACAGGGAACTCACATGGTGATAGACATCAACCATGCAGGGGATGTGAGCACCCGGACTTGGCCGGTGCAGACGGCGGAGAGAGGACGAAGAGCTGATACAACTGATAAGAGGGCGATCGTTCACCGGTGACAGCCCGATGACATCTGTCGTCGATTGCAAACGAAGGTGTGGCGTCCACGCGTCGGTGAGAAACAGACGATTCGAAGTCGTACTGAGCTTGCTCGGACGGGACAGGAGTAGATGGGAGGATGCGTGAGAAAGCACAGCCAACGGGGAGTCTAACAGTGCGGCACCACAAATGCAATGCGATAGAGCTGAAAATTGAGAATAGTGCAAATGGCTGATGAGTGTGGGACAATATTGATTGACTCAAACGAATTTGCGTGGTTATACTTTGCACCCTCAACAAGGGAATGGATTCATGGAAAACTAACCGCTCAGAAAGCCTAATGGTGGTATCTTCATGAGAGAAACTGGTAGTTCCACTAGTTACCGAGATCTCGTGATGTTGAATGGTAAATATTTACACTCATTGAAGCTTCTGTTTGCGGAGTGAAAAATGGTCTTGGGGTCATTGTGTGCGGGAAGCAGAGAGGAAGACGCTACAGAAGCGTACCTGCATTCGGTGACGCGTGTGCGGAGCTATGTACTTCACGGACATCCCCACGCACACCCACTGGTCGCCGACATTCTCATCGCGCGTCAACTTACGGTCGGAACTGTTCGGTGTGGAACGATTCGTTATGGTGGAAGGGAGTGTGGAGAAGGCCGGTAAGTGAAGAGCGATTATTTCTCGAATCAGAAAAACCAGGACACCTTTTGCCAACCTCCGACGTCTATGGCACTGACGTCAGTTTGCCTGTCAAGGGTAGGGTTTACACTGCAGTGGTGCGATCTATACTGCTTTATGGATCAAGGACGTGGCCCCTACGCGCAGGCGACATGGGGAAGATGTCAGTGTTAAACCATCGGTGTCTCCAGGTCTGCTGGAAACATCGAAGTAGTTTTAAGAATTACTCACGCTTCGTAGGCTGCGCTGATGATAAACTGATTCATTTGAAAAGATACACAAAAATTGTGATGTAAGATGCCTAGCGCATTGATATTTCGATCACAGCTCAGAGGTTAGGTAAAGAGAATGAAACTGGAGGGGGCTTGTTGCTGACGGATCACTCATGCATCAGTGTTCAGTCTGTCACGTGTGACGATCGCGACAGATGATGTCAAATGCCCACTGTGTTGTCAGAAGGGTACAAGACTTTCGGGCGCTCGGCTGAAAACACAAGATGGCGTCAAGTGACCTGATTAGATGGCTTTCTGATGACCAGAAGACTTCGTAAGTGCGCCGTGAATGCCCAAGTGGTAAGAGCGCGAATTTACTGACCGGAAGGTCCGTGGTTCGAATCCGACCTCTACCTCTCGACTTCCCCTGTCTAGGCTTGGGCAACCTGGCAGTATCCCAGCCCTCGTGCTTCCTTCGGGTGGCATGGCAGCTAGGCACCGAAAGGGTGCTACAGCTGAACGCTTTCTTTCTATAAACCATTTACCAAGAGTATGTTTGCCCACCAAAGAATGGGACAACGGAAGTTGTAGCTAAACAATGAAGGCGACGGAACGATCAGGTAGATCTGAGGGAACGAAAAAGCCAACAGGTGCACAGCGATGTACGAGTGAGTGGTTGTCATTAATCACTGATGAATTGAGTCCCAAAGTCCCCATCCAGGAAGGCGGTAGTGGTCAATCCGACCGAGTTTAGTGGTGGTTTGTGTTTCCATACTTCGTTGCCGGACCGTAGACTGACCGCCTCCCGGTCACTTTCGCAAAGCACCATACTGGGTGAAAACAGCTCTGCGAGGTACATGTCCTAACCATCGTCGTGTATGGGGCGTATCTCATCCACTGTGGGAGAGTTCCTTCTTCCTCAGCATTGTTCTCATCAGACCCAATCAATAGTTCGGAAAACGATGGCCAAACACTGATAGCTTTCGCGTGTCGTCTGCGCGTAAAGACCATGTTGCCGATCCATAAAGCAGCAAGGATCGCACTGCTGTGGTATATGTTCAAACTCTGACAAATTGGTATCACTTTTTGTATCGGAGGTTGACAAAAGCTACTCTGACCTTCTCTGTACGAGAAGTAATTTCGTCATCAGCCAATCCACCGTAACTTACTAGAAACGGGCTATTCAGGGAGTCAGCCGTACTTTCATGGCATTGATTTTGAGCTATGAAGGCTCCCCGGAAAACATGGTTGACAGACTGATTTTGCCTTCGAGCAACTCCAATGACCTTTACATGACACCTCCCTAACAGTCCCACCTACGAAGTGTTAGCCGTGGTTGCAGTTTCGCCAACCAAACCTCGGTAGCAGAAATTACACTGGCCATTACAGTTGAACATGAGGAGTCTCCACGTGGATCTGTATGGATCCTGGAGTGCACGCACCTAGGTCTACGAACAGCGTGTTACGCTGAAGAGTTGGCCCCTGGTGGGCATTCGGTCATTATGTCGCCAGCTTGGTATCCAACATAATTTGCCCCATCTAGAAGTCCATCCCACCTTAGTTGGTGGTAGCGCTTTGCAAACTGCGGGTGTGGAGTAAACATCAAATCATGTGGTACCACATACCCGTAATTAGCAATCGAACGCCAAATGCATATTTCCTACTGGCGAAAAAACTGACTTCAACTGAATAACTTGAGCTTAAAGACTTAGTCTGAAATCCAACAGTCTGAGAAAGCATCACGTCAGCGTAGCGGAATGAAAAACGTTGAAAAGTATGAAGACCAAGGGAAGGCGGAATTACCAAAGAGACGCGTCCGGGTAGATGATCTAACGACTGCGCTACAGAGTATACTGTCTTCACACTGGCCTCATATGCCCCTGAGCCTCACAGCTGATTCGCCACTCCTCTTCAACCGTTCAGTTGTAGCACCCTTTCGGTGCCTAGCTGCCATACCACCCGAAGGTTGAACGAGGGCTGG